GAGCTCGCCGCTGAAGCGGAGCACCACTTGAAGTTCGCGGCCATCGGGCGCACGGTTGGCATTGCGCCTGAGGGCCCTCGTCTCCGCCAGTGCCGGTACCATCGCAAGCACTCCGCCACCAGACGACGGACGGTAGCGCACCCTCTCGACGTAGGCGTCGTCGTTGTCCTGGAAGGCGCTGTCCACCGCCGCACGCCACTGGATTTCAGAGGCCGTCGCGCGGGCTAGGAGGAGCCTGGGCGACACCAAGACCGCGTCCTCAAGCAACTCCTGCACCTTAATGGCCGCCGCCGGCCGGGTAATGTCAATCAAGACGGCCTCCTTCAAACTGTAAGTCGTGTACAAGCCGATGATGACGTCCATCGCCTCGAAGATCGCCTTGAGGCGCAACAGAGAAACCCTGGCCGCCCAGTTGCCCCCCTGCGTGAGCCTGCCCGTGTAGAGCAGGCGCCTCTCCTGTGGCGTGGAGCTCGCCGCCTTCGCAGGCCCCTGCCAGCTGGTCACAAAATCGCGGGGGACCTGGCCGAGCAAGCCGAGCAGAGTCAGCTCGTCCTTCTCGGCGATATCGAGGACGACCATCGGCGCGTCGGGCCCGCTGCCGATGAGGCCGCGGGAACGCATCATGCCCCATGTGCCGGAGCCACTGGTCGAGCTCAAGTGGACCACGCAGAGGCTCTTGATCTGGTGCATCGGCGCGTGCAGGCCGGAGACGACGATCTTCATAGGCTCGTGGCTGAACGAGATGGTCTGCACGAAAGGGGCCCACCTGCTCTGAGCCTGGAGGAGGTCATGTGTCCACGTGTCCCCGAACTGCCAAGGCGAATGGCATCCGGGGCGCGGATCGAGCGGCACGACGACGAATAAGTTGAGCGGGACACCCTGCATGGCGGCCTTGGCCACGCCACCGCATAAGCGGCCGAGGTCTTCCTTCTCCCCGGGCGCCCGCAGCATGATGCCGCGGCCGGCCATCGTCGCCATCGTCTGGAGAAAGGTGTCGCCCCCCTGCAGAAGCTTCCCGGACACGTCTCGTGCATCTTCCGGCGATGGGAAGATGTGCGCGGCGGCCGTCGGGGGCCGAGCGCGGATGATCCGCGAGAGGTTGAGGAGACAAGTGCATGGGATACCCGCCTCGTGCACCAAGTGCTCCACCACCGCCGGCTCAGCCTCCGCCCAGCGTGGGAGCCTGTCCTTGGCGACCTTCTGCAACTTCCGCACCCGGAGGACCTCTTTGAGCTCGTTGAGGCACTGCTGGTGGGCCTCGGTCGCGCGAGAGATCCAATTGCGCTTAATCTCGCGCTCAGGCTCCGTCAAGGGCCCATCCGCGACGGAGTGAAGCAGGTCGCCCAGGAGCCCGGCGCGGCTCGGGTCGGGCGAAAGGGGGGGATAGCAAAGGGGGGGTTTGAGAATCAGCTCACGTAGCTGATTTTCCCGGCGCCTCCCGGCGCCGGAGGCGGCCATGTATCGAGGAATGGGCCCCTCGTGAGGGCCGAAACCAGCTGCATGCAGCAATTTCGTAACCCCCCCTTTCCCAACCCCCCCTTTCGCCCGACCCGAGCGGCGGAGCACGAGCGCCTTGTCGGGGGCCGGGCCGGGCCTTCCATCTTGCAGAGGCCGAGGCGGTCCCAGCCGTCGTCCAGGTGGAGGTCGTAACCGAGGAGGCTCAGGTCGCGGCATAGGGCCACCCACGGTGGGCTGCCTGTGGCGGTGGCGCCGTCCCCCATGGCGTCCACGGACATGTAGTCGAAGTTCAACATGACTTCCGAGTCGATGAAGTCCCGAACCGCGGTCTCGAATCGAGAGCCCACCGCGGCGCCCTGCCCGTCGCCCTCAGGGACATCCTGCGTCGGCTGGAGGCCTGGGGGCGTTGGCAGGGGCGCCGCGCTGCTGCCGAGTCCGGTAGGCGGCACCATTGCCCGCCGCGAGGAGAGGAGAGGAAGAAGAGGCGCGCGAGGCGAGATCGAAGAGAGGCGGTGCTGTGGCCAACAGCGAAGGCGCCGGCTAACTACCTGCCAGGCCAGTGGGCAGGCAGCTTGAGCCATGCCTCCCTGGCACGCTGTGCTGCAGCCCTGCCGGTGCACGCAGCCACCACCCTCTTGTGCGAAATGGCCAGTGAAGCCCGAAAGGGTCCAGCAAAACTGGGGAACAGGCCTCTTTGGGTGCGGCTCAAGTTCTCCGTCCCCTTTCGGGAAGGGATTCCACGCACGCCTGTTAATTGTCGGGCGTCGACCGTGGCGGTGCGACCGCACCGAAGACAAAAGTGCAAAGAGTGCAAATCCCAGTACGCCAAGCGGTGGGAGGGGTCGAGAGCCCGCCCACCGACCGAGAGAACACCGCGGACCGCCAGGGGCCAGGACCACGTCCCGAGGAAAACCCGAGAGAACGGCCTGCGGCGAAAAGCATTCGGACTTCAGGGCCTCTAAGAGGCCCTGCTTGGACGCAATGAAAACACAACGCTGGCACCTGAAGGAAGTGCCCACGGGAACGTATCTATGAGCACTCAACCTCGCGGCAAGCTCAACACGGGTGGCGGGCCAGGGCCGTTCGATCTCCGACGCAACCTTAGGCCTCTTGGGGTTCGCAAGGGGCGTTCCAGCCAAGGCCCGCCTAGCTCTCCGTCGAACTAAAGCTGCCGTGAGGTCCCACGCGTCTGTAGCTGGAACTGAAGTGGCCGAGAGGGTCCAGCAGCGTTTTGCACCATCGCTGGCCGCTTCGTCGGCTAACTGGTTGCCACTAGCCAAGCAAATCTCATGGTCGGTGAGGGACGGATCCCCCGGTGACCTGTGGGAGGGCGTCCACTCGACCGAAACAGGGCACGGGCCTCGATCGTCGAGGGCGCAGCGAATTCGAAGCCAGAGGTCGCTGCCCCCCCCTCCCAAGCTCCAAGGTCGACCCCGACCCACCCCCACCATTAACGGCTTATGGTCGGTCACAAAATGAACGGGGCCTGAGGTACCTTCGCGGAAAATGGTGAACGCCTGTAGCTCCGCTCGCGATGGGCCTCGCAAAATCTCGGAGACCCCCCCCCAGGACGGCCCGCCGCAACGGCCCTTCCCCAGGACCCGCGCCCCTGACCACCACGACAAACGAGCCGCACCTTCGGCGACGAGGATCGGACGAAAACCGCCCGCCTGAGCCGCCCTCGAAGCCGATGAGAGGGCTGCTGCCAGGAGCTCTAGGGCAATCCCTGAGGGGCACCTCACCTAAATGGGCGCGGCTAAGACTCTCAGACGGCTCTTGGAAAACAGGGTGGGTGATATGGGTCGGCGGGGCACCTCGCAGCCAAAGGCTTGGTTCTGAATCAAGTGACGCAAGCGCTTGAGGAATCAAACTGTCTGCCGCAGTGAAATCAGCATGGTCTTTGTTGCAGGGGCAACTCCAAATGCGGTGAGCGAGGGTTTCCTCCTCTCGCTGGCGCCGCCTGCACAGTCGATCCTCGGGCGCATTCAGCGGGAACTGCCTGTCCATCGTCCACTGGGCGCCCGTGACCACACAAACGTTAAGGCCAAACAGGTCGAGCTCTCTCTCCCCTCTTGGCGAATCGACTGAGTTCCAATCGCGCCCAGTAGAGATCCGCCCCCTTCCCCTGCAACATGCGTCGATGAGAGCCTCCAAACTTGAGCTCGACAGTCTGACATTACATCGTCAAGTAGCTCCGATACATCAAAGCCAGTCGGGTCGTAGCCTGAAAGTCGTGACGCCGGTATCTGCCACTCCTCAAACGAACCATTGATTGGCCTCCTCCAACGGAATGCTGAAGGCACGTCCCGACCAGCGTCTAGAAGAGTAGCCACCACTGCTCCAATCGGTCCATTGACCAATCTCCATCTCTTGCGAGGCCCTGCGTCGCGAAGCCGCTGTGCAGTCGGGGCCCGAGCGAGTTCGACTCGATGGTGGATACTGGAGTCGGTCTCCCAGAGACAAAGGCATTCTGCCAACAAGCCTCGCCTCAACTCGAGACCAGGGTCCTTGGGGCCATGGAGGAGTGAAAGGGCGGTGGCAAGGCACCGCCCCTTCATCGGCCCAACCCCTGCGGTGGCTGCCTGTCGCCTGAGAGACAGAATGCAAGAAGGCGACGTGCCTTGGGCCTGGTGTCCATAGGCCCCTTGCGGTAGCGCACCTGTGGCCCAAAGCCCTTGCGCCTCTCGCCTGAGCTGGGCGTGCCTGCGTAAGCGAGCAATGCGTGCTGCGCTGCGCTTGCTGGCCACAAAACCGAGCCTCGGCCTCGAAGACCGCGCGCCTCTTGCCAGAGGAGACGTCGATGCCGGGGCCGGCGCCGTGAAGTCCACAACGAACTGGAATGCCCTGCCTCTGTAGTTGCACGGCCGTTTTCCTGCCGTCTTGCGGGGACGTTGTCAATAATGCTGAATTGTCTAAAAGAGCAAACCGATGATCTATTGCGAGATCGGCGATCACCACTGCGGCGTTGAGAACGCCAAACTGGACCTTATTCTGCGGGCCTTCTGCGCGATCAACTGCGTCGTCGATGAGCGCCCAGAACGCGGCGAAACTGGCTCTGCTGCGCGCTGCTTGCATCGAAGGGGGCGCAGGAAGAGCTCGGCCACTCGCACTCCCTGCCGCTGCAGATCGGGTGGCGAAGATGGCGTCTGGGGCGCCCAAGTTGCCTCGGAGATAGCGTGGGCTCGCACGCGACTCCAGCTCCAGTAGCACCACAATGGCGGGGAGCTCGAGGTCGAGCGCCGCCTTCCCGATCAAAACCCAGGACAAGGAGTCGCACAACTTCTCAAAGTCTTAGAGCAGCGCGGCTGCTGAAATCCCAAGAGCCACTTCCGATTCACCAAGCAGCGCGCAAATGAGCGCCGCTCTGAGAGAGCTGCTGCCAGCAACTGCAGTGTCCCAAAAGTCCGATAACTCCTGCGACCACATGGGGGTAACTCCATATCGTACTCGGCTCCAAATCTGCGCAGTCTCGGGAAGTAGGCCAACGACCCCCCCCCCCCGCCTTTGGGCTTGGGCAATAATGCTCCGATGGAGGCCAGTGCCTGCGCTGGCCAGATTCCCTCATGCTCGACGTTGTTGAGGAGGTCGCAATAAGCCTGGCGACCCTCACGAGGGAGTCGCTGCAGATCAAGGGGCGTGATGGAATCCACCCCGCTGGCCTTGGTGCCCAGGGCCTGGGGGGCCTTGTCAATCTGCTCGACCTCCAACAAAGCGAAATCCTCCTCTCGACTTTGAACATGTAAACGTTTGGACCTACTGGGGATGTCATCTGGGGTATCCAATGAATCTTGCCACACGCGGTTCCAGATAGCTCGGGTGTTCTGCATCCGCACGAACGGGTCGCCGACGACTCGCCTGTCGATTACTGGGTCCGCTGTGACAGCCTTGGGGCCCTTGACCACCGAATGAAGACCTGGTTGGGGACGCCATGTATCCTTAGCCCAACGCACAAAGGCATGCCGCCGTAAGGTGAGGCATCTGGCCTGAAAGCGGCAAGCCAATCTCTCCGTAAGGTAAGCGAAATCCTCTCGCTCGAGGCTGGTCGATCCCGAGAAGGCTCGAGACCAGTCAAGCCAACGTTGCTGAGCTGCGACTCCTCCAGGTCCTTGTCCGGAATAGCTGGCTGGGTCGAAACTGGCAGCTTCCGATGTGTGACGACTGAGTGCTGCAAGACATTGTGCTTGCTGGCGGGGGTCCTTGCCGTGCCCATGAAGGGCGATGAGCCTTTGAAAAACAATAAGAACTGTGCCCCACCATTCGCCTGGGCCGTCTGTCATGTGGGCCCGTCCTGGGGTCGACTGAGAAGCCTTGAGCTCGGGTCACCGTCGATGGTGCTTCCAATTAATGGTGGAGTGCGAAGGCGCGCTCAACGCTAGAAGACCACCGAGCGTACTGACTGGTGACGGCACCAAGCCCACGCGGATTGACCTGACCCAGGAAATGCGAGTCGACGACGTAGCGGCACTCCGTGCTGAGCTCTGAAATAGTAGGCGGCGGTGCGCACAACTCCAGTGGGATGTGACATTCGACCGACGGATTCGCATCCGTCAACATCGGCTGGTTGAGTAAGGCGTCGTAGTCTTCCAAAAGATCAGGTGGTACCTGAGCCCGTTCTTGAGCTCGTCGCTGCGCTTTGGCGGCAGACCTTTTGCTGTTGGGGTCTGCGGCGAGCTTTGGCCTGGCCACCTTGGGAAATGGCTCCGGTAACTGAAAATTCTGGTACCACCATCTACGCATGCCGTCCTGAACGTCGATCTGTAAAGCACAATGCGTCTTCCATGGCACTTGAACCTGCGCCCGAACAGTGTACCTGGAGGAAGTGCCGTTCTTGGCCATGGCGTAGTCAATGAGGGAGCCCTCGTGTCCTTTATCGCAGGTGGTGTCTACGTCTGGCAACAGGAGTGAGCCTCCCACCTTGCGTGGCCATTGAGTCTCCTCCAAAGACGATGGAGCTAAATTCCAGTCTCCGACCACCAACCACGGGTCTGCAAGCCCGTGAAGAAAGGACGCCAGCGCAGCAAGTACTTGACCGTTGCGCCCTGTGACAGCCACCAAAACCCAGTTACCAGATGTCATATGCAATACCATGGCAGGAAACAACTGTCATAGGATCAGGCTGGCGTGCCGCCAACGCTTGCTGTCGAACCGGCTGAAAAGACGTGGTAGCTAAATGCTTCTTGGCCATGACCCATTCACCGCCTGAAGAACCTCCTCGTCCCGTGGGTGTGCTGCCCGTGGCGCTGACCTTCCAACCATCCTTGTCGAGGTCGTGCTCGATCTTGGAGTGAGAGCTGGATGCGGTGATGTGGGTCTCCGCTAAGCAGCACACTGGGAGGAGGAGGAGGAGGAGGAGGAGGAGGAGGAGGAGGAAGAGGAGGAGGAGGGGGAGGCGGGGGAGGAGGGAGAGGAGGAGGAGGGAGGAGGAGGAGGAGGAGGAGGAGGAGCAGGAAGAGGAGAGGAGCAGGAGGAGGAGCAGGAGGAGGAGAAGGAGGAGACCTGGGGAGGTCGCAGCAAGTCTCTGGAGGCCCCCGAGGTGGTCATGGCAACGTCCGAAGAAGCCCTGGGCGGCCTGGCCGGGCACCGGCGTCGGGCGGACGGGTGGCGTCGCCCTGCACCGTGAAGGCCGAGCGGCGACGGCTGCCGCCAGCGATCACTCGGCGGCTGCTTGCAACCAAAGGAACTTTGCTCTGGCCGCCAAAAGCCGCCGTGACCGCCGAAAAGGCGGAGAGCCGTGACGCCTTCCTCCTCCGTCTCCCCCTCTCTGCGTCTCGCCATCCCTCCATCCCTCCTCTTCCTCCTCCTCTTCCTCCCCCTCCTCCTCCTCCGCCTCATCCTCAATCCCTCCACCTCTCCACCCCTCTATCCCTTCATAGCTCCAACGCCATTTCGTCCCTACTGCTGGGTTTCCTCCTCAACCTCCTTCTCCTCCTCCTCCTCTTCCTCCTCCTCCTCCTCCTCCTCCTCCTCCTCCTACCCCCTCTCCCTCCTCCTCCTATCCCCTCCTCCTCCTCCTCCTCCTCCTCCTCCTCCTCCTCCCTCCTCCTCTCCTCCTCCTCCCCGCCTCCTCCTCCTCCTCCTCCTCCTCCTCCTCCTCCTCCTCCTCCCACCCCCTCCCCTCCTCCCTCCTCCTCCTCCTCCCGCCTTCTCCCGCCTCCTCCTCCTTCTCCACCTCCCCCTCCCGCCTCCTTCTCCCCCCATGCTCCCCCTCCCCCCTCCTCCTCCTCCTCCTCCCTCCTCCTCTCCTCCTCCTCCTCCTCCTCTGTTGCGCCCTTCTGCCTCCTTCATTCTCACACCTCCTCCCTTCTTTGTGCTGCCTCCTTTGTCCGCTCGCCTCGGCCCGTAGCATCCTCCGCCTCCTTGGCTGCTGTTGATATAATAATCACCAGTCCTCCCCTCCCCCCATCGAGCAGAGAGCCTCCACTCCAGGAACTTCCAACAACCTCCAGAAACCACCATGAGGCCTCCGAGAGCTCGCACGAACCTGCAGGGACCAATTCAAAGCCTTCAGAAATCCTCCTCCTTCTTCTCCTCCTCCTCCTCGCCCTCGGCTTTCTTTTTCTTGTTATCCTCCTCCTCCTCCTCCTCCTCCTCCTCCTCCTCCTCCCTCTCCTCCACCTCTCCACCTCTTTCTTCCTCTCTGCTCCCTCCTTCCCTCCTCCCTCCCCCCTCCTCCCTCCTCCCCAGCCCCCGTCCCTCCTCCGCCCCTCGCCTTCCTCCCTCGTTCGTCCTCGGATTCTCTCGGCTTTTCGGGATTTCTTGTCTGTGGCGCTCGCGCGGGCTCTGGCCGAGGGAATGCATGAGGGCCGCGCCTTGCAAGGGCACAGGCTGGAGCCTTGCATCCGCCAACCGCTGCAAGGCGCTCAGCGCCGCCCAGCACAGCGTACAAGCGCCCAGCCGACGTGCTGGATGCAGGCGGCGCTCGCTTCTGGGCCGAGGAGGGCCCGAAGCACCGCCTGCCGCGTCGCAGGGGGCCCTAGCGTCGATGGATCTGGAGTCGCGACTCCGAGGTGCGTCCGCACGCAAGCGGTGCGTGGGAGACGTTCACCTCCGTACTGGGACACGCGCCGCAGCAAGCAAGGCAGGGCCAGCGGCGCTTCCTCCTCACCCAGGACTGGCAATAGCCAGCGGCCTGTCACCCTGCAGATCGCTCTCCGTGAACATCACGCATGTCCTGCTGCACGTGCTGCTGCAAGGCCGACATGGCGCTGCGAGATGGCAGTTCCTCTTCCCCCTCCTCCTCCTCCTCCTCCACCACCACCTCCTCCACCACCTCCTCCTCTTCCTCCTCTCGTCCTCGTCCTCGTCCTCTTCCTCCTCCTCCCCATCCTTCTTCGTTCTTCCTCGTCGTCGTCCTTTTCCGTCTCGGCCTCCTGGTCCTCATCGGCCCCTTTGTCCTCCTCCTCGTCCTCATCATCACCCCCTCCTCCTCTCTCTCCTCCCTCCGCGTCCTCCTCGTCCCCCTCGTCCTCCTTGACTTCCTCGTCCTCTCTCGTCTTCCTGCCGGTCCTCGTCGTCGTCGTCGTCAACGAGTCGTCATCTTCCTCCTCTTCCTCCTCCTCTTCTTCCTCCTCGTCCTCCTCCTCCTCCTCCTCCTCCTCCATTCGTTTCCCTGTATAACCAACTTCTCCGTGGCGCACCCCGAGGCCACTTTTTAGGGCGGGTCGTGCGTTTCGCCTGAGACTTCCTGACCACCTATGACCCTGAAGCTTAAACAGTGGGAACAGTTGCACAGATGGAGGGCGGGTCGTTTTCAACATGTGGCTCGCGCCTTAGCGCCGCGCACGCTGGTTTTGAAACATTTTTTCCAGCGCGATATTTTGGGAGAAGAAGGAGGGACAGGCAGGAGGGGACGATCGCAACAGCTCTCGAGTCACCTGTGCAGTCCGTGGCGACACGCGGCAGAGATTGACCAGCGGTTTTAGTTTACAACAACATCCCAGAAGTAAACAAGCACTGGCGAGAAGAACTGAAGTGGCCGGCCGGGTAAATGTCACCACATTCAGGGGGAAGGGGAAGAGGAGCGTAACGAGGAAGAGGAGGAGGGGGAGGAGGAGGAGGAGGACCAGACGTCAAGCAATCCTGGACCGCCACACGAACCGACCTGCAGTAGGCAAGCCCGTGCACAGATCAAACCCAGGAAATCAACTGGGGCGTGCCATGTGCATGTATCCCCCAAGGCCTGCACAGCCGATGATACTTCCCACAACGAGCACACGAGGACGAGGGGAGAGGAGGAGGAAAAAAGGAAGACGAGGAGCCAGAGAATATAATGATACAAGTATGGCCCGAATTCGTATCATAGCGAAGCGCGAGACTGCCAAAAACAGTAGCCCCGGGATCGAGGACACGCCGTGAATGACCACGAACGGCCGACAAAGCACCGCACTGATGGTGGGCAAGGCGCGAAGCCAAGAAAGTAGCGAAATGTCCGACTGACATCACCACGGAGGAGGGAGAAAATGGAGGGAGGAGGTGACGGCCTGTCTATTACCCACGCTGCCGGCGGCGAGCCGTGCGGAGTAGCGGCTCTGAAGCAAGGTGCCCGCGCGCGCCCTCCCGCAGCATGGCAGGAAGAGCCTCCGCAGCCTCCCGCAGCGTCCCTGTGCGGACCGCGGCCTGCACGCGGTAAACAGCATACACGGTGAGAGCTCGCAACAGCCGGACCCGCTCACGTGTTCCCGCACCGCCGCGCCTGCTCAGGGTCGAGGGCTCGAGGCTTAGGAAGCACGCCAGCTTGTCTTCGGCGGCTGGGGCGGCCAGTCCGGCATGGACAGCGTAGAAGCAAACGGCGCGTTGCTGGAACCGGCGCGCCGTGCACCAGCCGTTGAAATCTGGCCGGATGAAAACCGCTGCTGCCCGCGGCGTGCCTCCGGTGCTGAGCGCCCGGCCGGCATTTGCAATCGTTTCACGGATTGAAGGCGATGTTGAACATGTGGCTCTCGCCTTCGTGCCGCGCACACTCTTTTTTTATAAGAAAAATGCAAGAGCTTCACGGATTGAGGGCGCTTCTTGTTCAAAATGTGGCTCTCGCCTTAGCGCCGCGCACATTCGATTTTAAACTTTGCAAGAGTTTCACTGGCTCCCTGGTGAGAATACCAGAAATGGCGTTCTGGAAAGATTCCACATTATGAGGGTGCAACAGATACGTTGACTCGCGGTGTTGAAGTCCCAGGAACGGCGTTCTGGTACGATGCAGGATCGCCAAGACGCAACAGTCAGATTTATCCGTTGCGTTGGAATCCCGAGAACAATGTTTTGGTATGTTTCAGGGTCTTCACATGGTTGTTTTCCAACGAAGCAGCTCCCTCAGTGGAAATGAACCGTTGCAGGGGCCTATGATGATGAGGAAGCTTGGGGGAGGGTTTACTCCAACATCGTTGACGACTCTTGGGTTTACACTGGTCCTCCTCCTTCTCCCTCCTCGCCACCCTCTTCCCCTTCGTCCCTCTGCGGCCCTCCTCGTCCCCCCTCGTGCATCTCCTCGCCCTCCCTCCTCCATCCCCCCCGCCCCTCCGGCCCCTCCTCCCACCATCCCCCCGTTCCCCCTCCCTCCCTCCTGCCCCCAGTAAAGATAATTGTACAGGCCCCCTGATTGCCTCTTAGAACTGTGAACTGTAAGTTGAGTTTCAGAGATTGGATATATGTTTGATCCTTCGCCCTGGGGCTCAAGTCGAGAAACCAACTTTGGTAGCGTTTGATGTGCTATCGCTGTCTCCAGCCGGGCCTCCCGCCGCGCCAGCGCGCCGCGCCGCCAGGCAGAGACGTGCAACACCACAGAGGACATCGCCGACGAGAGTTTCTCAGTGGTCCTTCCGGCCAGTACGACGTGCAGGCCACCAAGGACCAGAACAGCAAAATTCGCGCGCAGTGCAAGCACCTTGCCAAGGCACAGGAGCAGCTCATTCTTTATATTTCTTCTTCTTCGAGGAGCTTTCGTCACGATGGCTCATGATGGTGGTGGCTACGCTTCGGAGCCGGGCTTGCCGCTGGACAGTTTCACGAAAAGTGTTCCTCCTGGTTGGCGAGCTGGCATGCCGAAGTATCCAATAAGACGATATACACAGCTCTTGCGTCTCTGGTGGCGTCAGACTGATGTGGGTGAGAGCGCTTGTGGGCCCGCAATGCTGGCAGGCTTCGTGGCGCAGCTTTCCAGATCGCGAACAGCATCAAGGCGAACCGCCTCGATCTTTCAACAGGCCTGATGAGGGAGATGATTGGTGATGAGTTGTTGGCGCAGCCGAGTCACGAGGCTTGGCAGAATGCAGCAGGCGAGGCATTTCCAGCAGAGCCTGCTGGAGCGACTGTGTTGCTCAACGCGTTGCAGAGAGAGTTCGGCATGCAGGAGCAAGAGATGAATATTCAGTCCCTCGACGCCTTCTTCATGCATCATCGGGGCAGCCTCAGCTTGTCGGACTATCTCACGATGTGGCGCATGACGTACGACGAAGCGAATCAGAACTCAGGCTTGGAAATCAATGATGTGGGCAGGTCATATCTTCTTCTTCGTACCTCAGGCCTCTCAGATCGACTGAAGGACGATATCAAGTTGAAGCTAGATGGCAACTTGGCGCGATTCGAAGACCTGATGAACCTCCTACAGCGGATGGCCCATGCTGAGACAAACACAGGCTCGAGCATTCCCGAGATGGTCAAGCAGCATTGGCAGAACACGGATTGGAATGATGACAGTTGGTACTCAGATGAATGGTATGATGATTACGACAATTTCTATGAAGGTGACTGGTGGAATGCAGGTGA